CTCCTCATCATCATCCTCATACTCAGCCTCAGCCTCAGCCTCAGCCTCAGCCTCAGCCTCATCATCATCATCATCATCATCATCATCATCATCATCATCATCATCATCATCATCATCATCATCAGCATCAGCATCAGCATCAGCATCAGCATCAGCATCAGCATCAGCATCAGCATCATCATCATCAGCATCAGCATCAGCATCATCATCATCATCAGCATCATCATTTTCTCCTCCTCCGTATCGCCCCTTCCCTCCGCCCCACCCTCCCTCGCCACTTCCCACCTCGAACACTCCCCGACAGGGCCCCCCCCCGCCACGCCTCCGCCGGCACCGTTGCAGCCGCGGCAGACGCCACCTTCGCCTCGGCCGCTGGCGCCACCGGCGCAGCCTGCGGTGCGCCGCCCACCACCGAAGGAGGGGTCGATCCGCCTTCCCCCATCGTTCCATCCTCCCCTTCAGTCTCGGCTCGAGAGTGACGGGCGTCCAGAGCGCAACCAAAACGCGCAACGCTCAGCGCCCCACAGACCAGTGAGTCTGTAACCATATCAATCATACGGCCCGCGCGCCATGGCTCCGACAGGTTCCCTTGGGCCGTCTCGGGGCCTCTTGGGCGCCTTCCTGGGCGACTTGAAGATATCGTAGGCCGTCTTCGGTGCCTCTTGTGGGCCGTCTTGGGGGGCTCTTGGGCGCTCTCGGAGCTCCCTTGGGCCGAAATGGGAGCATCGGGCGCGAAAGGAGGGTCGGCAGCCAAATGGGGAAAGGGGGGATTTGTTGAGAACCCAGGACCTTATCCGGACACACTTTTATATCTGTATGTATCCATCTATATATATACACATGTATATAGATGCATATATATATATGTTTGTATAGGCGTATGCAACTATACATAAAAATGAACAAATATAAGTGAAGCATGCATGCGTACAAATAAAATATAGCAAATGCATGCGTTTAACTAGACCTATACATATTCACACACACATTCAGATATACGTATACACATATATGTTGATGCACGCACGCAGATACCTCTACATCTACATTGACACACATGTATATATATATATATATATATATGTACATACATACATACATACATACTATATATATACGTGCGTACCTGCATAAACATACACGTATCGCCTATACATAAGCATATACAGATCGCCGCCAGGAGCGCGCCCCCCCGGAGAGAGAGGACGGGGGGGTGTCCCCCTTGATAACGCCTTGGGCTCCGACACCATACGGTCGCTCCCTCCTGCACGACCGCGGCGTTCCAGCCGCGCGGGTCGTTCGACCTCGGCCGAACCTGGACGCCTCGGGGCGCTCAAACTTGAACGCCTGCGCTCGGGTCGCCGCCGCGTCGGCACGGCGCGAGCCCAGCTCGAGGATCACGGCTCGCGCAGCTCGGCGACGCGGGAGCGACCCCACGCAGGAGTGGCCCAAGGTGCGCGGCCCGCCGATCGCGCGCGGAGCGACAGCGACAACAGCGGCCCAGGTATTTGGGTTTGCTCCTCCTCCTCCTCCTCGTCTTCGTCTTAATATTGTTATTATTAATGTTAATAGCGCTATTCTTAGTATTGTTCGTCATCTGTTCCTTATTATGACAAATCTTCTTATTAGTATTAGTATAATCATTATAATCGTCTTCCTCCTCCTCCGCCTCCTCCGCCTCCGCCTCCGCCTCCTCCTCCTCCTCCTCCTCCTCCTCCTCCTCCTCCTCCTCCTCCCCCGCGCCCCCCGAAAGCCGCGCACCAAAGGCCGCTCTTGCGAAGGGTCACCCTCCAGTGTAGCCGAACAAGTACTGTGGATGATTTTTTGTTTCAAAGGGGGGTTGAGTAATCTTCGGATTGAGCCTGCCCAATCCCGCCCCCTTTATCCTCCAACCCCCTCCTCATCCTCTCCCTCTTCCTCCAACCCCCCCTCCACCCATTCCGACAGCACGTGCCCAACCCCCCCAGCGGATCCAAGGGGGGGCGATGATATCCCCATCCAGAGTATGGCTTTAGATGCAAATTCTGGGGACGTTGGAGCCACTCGCTCCACTCGTGCGTCGAAGCTGCGTCGAACGCCCGTCGACTCGAGTCGAACCTGAGTCGAACTGGAGTGGAACAGATCTGTTAGGTTGGGCCCCAGGAAGGTCCCCCAAACGAACATCGAAATGGCTGGTTAAGAAGAAGCCAGGACGAGGACAAAATCGGGTTGGGATAAATCGAGAATCTCTGACATCTGGCGGTTCTGGAGGATGTCCCGGGCGCCGCGGCCTGCTCAGAGCGTTCCAAAACGCTCTTGGAGTTCCGAAATTCCGGAGCGCTCTGGAACGGAGTTATCCTCGTCCTAGCCTTAGGTCGGGCATGTCCCTGTGGAAGAAAAATAAAACAATATCCAGGAGTAAAACAATATACACAAGGAAGCACGAGTAATCGTCATCGGATTATTTTTCAACTATTCTTGCATACTCCTCCTGTAGAAGGACATGCCCGACTTAATCCCAGCACCACCCGACTGGCCCCGTTCCGCGAGCACCCGGCCTGCGCAGCGGGCGCTGCCGCCCGCGCCGGCGCCGCACCAGGCTGCGCCGGGGACGCGGCCTGGCGGCGGGGCCAGCGCCGAGGGCGTCGGGGGAGACTCTGCCACGAGGCTTTCGGGGATCAGGCTGCCAAGGTTTCAGGCGGTTCTGTCGGGGGAGATAGGGGAACAGGGCAGATCATCACCTCACGCAGTTGGCTGGCGTTCCTGGCGCCTCCTGGCGCCCATGTGTCGAGGAATGGGCCCGGCGGCGGGGGGGGGGAACCAACTGCATGTAGCAGAGTTCGTACCTCCTCGGGGATCTTCTGACCCGGGTCAATCCAGACCTGGGTCAGCTGGAAACCAAAAACTGCAATGCAGGAAAAACAAACTGCAACGCAGGTCCTCGCAAACCGGGGTCAGCCAATAGGCGCGGCCGCCTCGCGGCCACGAACGGCTCCCTAACCCGGGTCAGCCAGAGGGGGTCGTCGCAGGATCCTGCAGGATCCGGCGCCGTGGCTGACCCCCGTTTGCATTGACCCCCGTCTCAAGGCTCCCGACCTCCCCCCTTTCCCTGTCCTACCGCTTCGTGCGGCCCGAGCGGTTCGGGCATCGGGCTTCGAGGCTGTCGGGCGTTCCTGGGGCCTGCCGGGGCCTCCCCGGGGCCCCCGGATCCGCCTCGAGATTTCTGGCCGGGACGCACCCCAGTGAAGGGGCCCCAGGACACACAAATAAATACACACAAATAAAAATATTCCCCATATTTTCTCATATTTTCTGGGTTTCTGCCTTCCCCACCACTTCCCATATTTTCCCATATTTTCCTGGGAGTCGACGATTAATTGTGTCTGTGTGTTTTTTTCCCTCCTGACCCAGGGCATGTGCAGGGGCCGACCTATGTCCAGGGGCGACCTCCACCTCCAATCATCTTTCGGCGCCGCCCCTGGCGCGCTCCGCGCGACAGGGAAGGGGAAGCCAGCGCAGGTTCAGGTCATCCGCGCGGACCTCCGGAAGCTTTTATTACTCGTGCCTGCGTTTCTGCTTCAGACGATGGGGCCCCGAACTCGTTCAGGGGGAGACAGATCAACCCAGAATCGGTGATGCACCGCCGATAGATCGGTGACGGGATCCTGAGAGCGAACCCGCGCGTTCCTGGGCGGGGCGGGCTATATCAGGCCCCTATCTAGGGGGGAAGCAAACCTACCTCGCTTTTGACCACCATCGCTTCCAAGAGATACCAAACGATGTCAAACTGCAGCCTGTACTGGTCAGGCCGCTTGACGAGGAGGCGCGTGGTATGGCTTCGTTTTGCCTGGAAGCGAAAGCGGGGTAGGTAATTCACGCTCTGAGATCCGTGGGCGAGTGGGGATCGCTGCGCCGCCCCCTGAAGCGTAGCCCCTCCTGGCGCCGCGCCCTGGCTTTCGGGCCGTCGCTCGGCTGCCCGGCCGCCATTCGCGACGCCTCCGAGCTGCACTGGCACGCCATCGGCGAGGCGCAGCCGCCGGAAGGCATCCCGAGGCTGGAAAGTCGACGAGAACCGACGAGAACACCCGAAAACCTCCAACCTCGACAACCCCCCCCGAGCCATCCCCCCGAACGATGCCCCCGATGGCCTTCTCCTCCTCCTCGTCCAATTCGCCCTCCTCCTCCTCCTCCTCCTCCCTCCCTCTCTCCCACCCTCCCTCCCTCCCTCCCTCCCTCCCTTCCTTCCTTCCTTCCTCCCTTCCCCCCTGTCAGCTCTGGCCCACGGGTGGCCGAAGCGCGCCTTGAAATCGCGCCGAAGCCCCTGCGCTGTTCCTTTTCCTCCTGCTCCTACCCCCCCTCCTCCTCCGCCTCTCACGCAATCGTCGCAACAGACGGAGTGGGAACGTGTTCCGTCAAACTTGTCCTCCTTCCGCTCGCCTTCCGCCCCATTCACCTCCTCCACCCCTTCCCCCCTCCCCTCCCACTCCTCCTCCTCCTCCTCCTCCTCCTCCTCCTCCTCCATTTTCCTTATACACAACTTCTCCCTGTCGCACCCCGAGGCTTGTCTTTAGCTCACCACTTATGACCCTCAAGCTTAAAACATGACAATGGTTTCACGGATTGAGGGCGGATCGTTTCGAACATGTGGCTCTCGCCTTATCGCCGCGCTCATTCGATAAACAAAAAAAAACTTGCAAGAGCTTCGCGGATTGAGGGCGGGTCGGTTTCAACATGTGGCTCTCGTCTTAGCGCCGCGCCCATTCTTTTTCAAAACTTGCCAGAGTTTGACGGATTGAGGGCGGTTCCATTTTTCAACATGCGGCTCTCGGCCTAGCGCCGCGCACGTTCATTAAACAGAACTGCAAGAGTTTCACGGATTGAGGGCGGGGCGTTTTCAAAATGTGTCTCTCGCCTCATCGCAGCGCACACTCTGTTCAAACATTGCAAGGAGTTCCACGGATTGCGGGCAGTTCCTCTTCAACATGTTGCTCTCGCCTTCGCGCCGCGAACATCCGTTTTCAACAGTTGCAAGAGTTTCACGGATTCCCACGATCAGCCAGCCAGAAATGATGTGTTGGAAGGGTTCAGGCTTATGAGGGTGAAACAATTACGTCGATTCGTTGTGTTGAAGTCTCAACAATGGTATTCTGGCACGATTCAAGATCGTCAAGACGCAACACGCAGGTCGATCCGTGGCGTTGCAATCCCGAGACCAATACTTTGACATAAATCTTCAAACGCTTGTCTCCCAACGATGCAGTTACCTCTATGGACATGAACCGTTGCAGGGGCCTATGACGCGGGAGCTTGGAGGGAGGGTGTATTCCAACATCGTTGATGACTCTTGGGTTCCCACTTGTCCTCCTCCTCCTCCCCCTCCTCCTCCTCCTCCTCCTCCTCCTCCTCCTCCTCCTCCTCCTCCTACCCCTCCTCCTACCCCTCCTCCTCCCCCTCCTCCTCCCCCTCATACTCCTCGTCCTCGTCCTCCTCATCCTCCTCCTCCTCCTCCTCCCCCTCCCCCTCCTACTCCTGCTCCTCCGAAGCGTCCGAAAGCCTCGAGCCTCAACACCTTCCGCCCACCACCCCCTGAAACGCTTCCTCTGCTCCCCGCCCTGGCCATCCCCTTGGGGCGATCGGGGGTCGATGCATCCCCCCCTGAGCGTATCCCCAACTTGCATTCGCTCGGACATTCGTTCCCCGTGCATCCTTCGGCTTCGTGCGCCTTAGGTTGCGCGGGATGATCCAGGATGTTCCACGACGGTCCTCGCCGAGAAAATCTATGCACACGTCCGACGCCAATTGACGCTAGTCGACGCCAATCGGCGCTGTCTCATCGATTACCAAACGCTAATCGACGCTGCTGCCCTCTAAAACCGAATCACGAGGGTATACAAGGCTCCCATGATTTGCTGCCGCCGAACCCCGTGACGCTGCCCCCCGATCGGAGCAGCCACGGCCAACCATGCACGCACCCATTCCAATTGCACTGACCGCTGAGCAGGGGCCGACCGTTCCAGCATCCCTATAGGCCTACCACGAAACATATCAATGGTCTGATGACGAAGCAGATGCTCTTGGAACATAGGACCGAGGCGTTTAAATAGACCTGTCTCAGCCAGGCATGTTCTAAGAGCACTGTACACGAACCACAGAAAGGATTATTCCACCAGACCGACCTCCTCCTCCTCCTCCTCCTCCTTTGAGCCGTCCCCCCCCCTGAACGTTGCACCCTGATCCGAGCTCTCGGCGCTGGCCACGCACTCACCCCGGTGGCACTGACCAGGTCAGGACAGGCGGGCGTGCAACAGGGGACGGTCGTGCATCATGGTCCGAGCCCTCTGCGCGGTCAAAAGGGGGGGGGCGGAGGCCACGTGTTCCAAGAAGAAGAGGTAGCCATGAGATCCGGGGGAAATCCTGGCCCTGACCATGACAGAGGCGGCGGATGAAGGAGGATGGGGAATGCTGAGGAGTGAGGAGGGGGAGGAGCAGGAGCAGGAGGAGGAGGAGGAGGAGGAGGAGGAGGAACATGCCCCCGGGCACCCCGGGAAGGAAAGCTCCCGACGAGGCGCGCCGCTGCTGGGCAGCATCCCCGGCGCGGGACCACCTCCCAAAAATCAACGAACACGTCCCCCCCCCTCCTCCTCTCAGAGATCCCAACCAACATCCATAAGGCCTCCTCCTCCTCCCCCTTCACCCTTCCTCCTCCTACTCCCTTCCGCCTCCTCCTCCTCCTCCTCCTCCTGCCCCCCCCCCCTCGTGTTGTCTTTCGTCATCTTCAGGGTCGGCGGCAACGGCCGTAAGGCCTTCGCAATCAACGAACACGTCCCCCCCCCCCCTCCTCCTCTCAGACATGCGACAGCATGACTTCTTCAGAGCGCGGCCCCCGGGAGTCCCGACCCGTTTCCCCAGGGCCAGCTCTTTGTCCAAAATCGTTGTTTGAGGGCCCCTGGGGACGTTACAAGGAGTGCCCCCGTCTGCCGAAAGCTGAGAAACGCCTCCGTCCGCTAATTATATTACAGCGAACGCATATAGCAAGGACGGGTGGTAAGGACGCAAGACCCTTGAGGGCCGGACTTTGGGATTTGCTGGGCGGCGGCCTGAGGGGCTGGCCAGTGGAAGCGGCAGAAGACGGGCCGCAGAGGCAAGGACACGAACAAACACACGAAGAAAACACACATGTGGAACAAACACATACACACACACCCACGCGTGTGGAACAACAAAAACACACGTGGAAAACAAAACACACACAAACAATCGCACACACATGCACACACGTGTGGGAAAAAACACACACACACACAAGGAAACACACACACACACACACGCACACCCACACACACACAAAATGCACACACACGTGGAACAACAACACACAGGCAAACACACACACAAACACTCACACAACCACACACACACACACAAACACACACACACACACGCACACACGCACACACACAACACACACACAACACACACACACACACACCCCACACACACACACCAACACACACACACACACACCAACACACACACACGTGGAAAACGGACACACACACAATCACACACATAAGCGTGGAAATACACATCGGAAAACAAACACCAAACACACACACACACACGTTTTTTCCCACGCGTTCTTTGTTCCACAGGGCATCCTAGAAACGGCGCGCGTCCTGAACGTGCGCGCTGGCTGTAAGGACGCGAGCATGTCTGGGCTCATGGCCGCCCCTGCGCTGCGCCAGCCACGACGCGAGGAGAACGCGCGCGTGCGGGGCCGTCGTCGTCGTCGTCGTCGTCGTCGTCGTCGTCGTCGTCGTCGTCGTCGTCGTCGTCGTCGTCGACGCGTCCTCCTCCTGACGCCGCTGGGCAACTCAGAGCTGCGGTGTCGCACTCCTTGCCTTCACTGAAAGTGCCCAGGGACACGCAGATAAATACTCTTTTGGTCGGCGGGTCGGGAGCGGGCCCCTTCCGATTAAGAGCTAGGCGGGGCGCGCGAAGCCCTATTTAGCGAGACAGGGCGCGGGCGGGCGGGGCCTCAGGCGGCCGGAGGGTGCAGAGAACAGGCGGTGCCGAACGCAAGTAAATACACACAAATCCCCGGATTCCCCACACTTGTTCATCGGAGGTCGGGGGGTGAGATCGCAGCGGAACGGAGACCCCCTAACCGGAAAATCGTTTCCTTTCGTGCGTGTCGTGCGTGCGGGCGAGGCGAAGCTGCGTGGGCGCGCGAGGGGAATGAACCCGCTGTGGCTAGGGCAAAGTCAGGACAAATGCTTCTCCCCCGCCCGCCCGTCCGCCCGTCCGGCGGTGGCTCGCGGTGTCCCTCGGTGTCCCGTGGTGTCCAGTGGTGTCCGCCGTTGCTAGGCCAAAAACGATACAAATGATTCTCCCCCGCCTGCCCGTCCCTCCGTCTGGCGGTGGCGCGCGGCGTCCCTCGCTGTCCTGTGGTATCCCGTGGTGTCCCGTGGTGCCCGCCGTTTTTAGGGCGAAGTCAAGACAAATGATTCTCCACCGCCCGCCCGTCCGTCCGTCCGTCCGGCGGTGGCTCGCGGCATTCCGCGGTGTCCCGTTGAGTGAGATCGATACTGAGATCGATACTGAGATCGATGTGGTGCCCCGAGGTGTCCCGTGCTGTCCCGTGGTGTCCCAAAAAGTGAGATCGATAGTGAGATCGATAGTGAAATCGACAGGTGTCCCGTGGTGTCCCGTGGCGTCTCGTTGAGTGAGATCGATAGTGAGATCGATAGTGAAACCGATAGTGAGATCGATGTGTTGCCCCGAGGTGTCCCGTGGTGTCCCGTTGGGTGAGATCGATAATGAGATCGATAATGAGATCGACAAGTGTCCGGTGGTGTCCCGTGGTGTCCCGAGGTGTCCCGTGCTGTCCCGTTGAGTGAAATCGATAGTGAGATCGATAGTGATACCTATAGTGAGATCGAGAATTGTCCCGCGGTGTCCCGTGGTGTCCCGTTGAGTGAGACCGATAGTGAGATCGACAAGCGTCCCGTGGGGTCCCACAAAGTGAGATCGATAGTGAGATCGATTGAGTCAGATGTTGGTTACCCCCCTCCCCCCCCACACAACCTCCTTATTACCCGAAGGGTGGTCGTCGAGGTGTTTTCTTGGTTTTCGTATTCCCCCCACTTCCGATATTTTCCCATATTTTCCTGGGAGGCAACGATTATTTGTGCCTGTGTGTTTTTCCCTCCCTGATTCACTGAGAGCAGCGGCGGCAGCAGGAGCAGGACGAGCAGGCGAAGAGTGGGGAGAGGCCCAGACCTCTCCAAAAGCCACGAACAGGGGCACCGCCCAACAGAAACGCGTGCCCAGAGAGGGAAGGACAGAGAGGGACAGAGAGGGACAGAGAGGGACAGACAGAGAGGTGCCCAAAAGCCACGAATGGGGCTCAACATAAACGCGTGCCCAGAGGGGGAAAGACAGAGAGGGAGGCCACGCATTTTTGAGCCCGTGAGCGCCAGGTGGTCCAGGACAGTCGGACGCCGGTCGGCAAGCGGTGGGATGCACCGGGCGCAAATTGGGGCACCAAGGCGAACGGGACGGGGCGCGAGGGAGCACAAAAGAGAAAACAGCATAAGCGTAGACTTTTGGCACTCCGCGCGGATTTCTTGGATCTGCGCTGACCCCCCTCCCTGGCGCGCGGAGCGCGCCAAGGGCGGCGCCGGAGGCGCCGCCAGGGGGGCCCAGCGCGGACCCAAGAAATCCGCGCGGAGCGTCAAAAATTTATGTTTTTTGTTTTCTGTTTCCCCGTGTTCTTCTTCTTGGATTAAGTCGGGCCTCTCCTCCTACAGGGGGATTTTGGACGAGAAATCAAAAATATCCCCAGCGAAAATACCCTCAAATGGTCAAACAATATTAACAAAGATCGTCCCCAGACTATTTTTCGGCTATCTTTTAGAAACTCCTCCTGTAGAGGGACAGGCCCGACTGAATCCTTGGACGGGAAAAAAGGAGCCCGCAGAGAGAGAGAGAGAGAGAGAGAGAGAGAGAGAGCAAACCA